CTCCTCCTCCTCCTCCTCCTCCTGCTGGGGTGAGGGCGCCGGGCCTGAGGGGACACCCTCCCACCGCTTCGTGTAAGCCCCTCATCTCCCCTCCCGCGCCCGAGGGACGCCCTCACCGCTGAGAAGGGTGCTCGTTTCTAGGTGGCATTATGTGGCTGGTCAGGCTTTTCCTCTAATTGCAGAAATCGGCAGCAGTTTCTCTAGAAAGCAGCTTAAACAGCTATTAATTGGAACTTTTTATTATTATTATTATTATTATAGAATTACTAATACATTTCATCTTGCAGCAATATCTGCTCCTTGTACCCACCCCAGGATTCAAAAGGCAGCAAAGCTCCCACAGAACTCAGTTTTGCTCAGCTTAAAGCATAGTCTTCAAGGTAAAACACGCGTGTCTGTCTCTCTCTTCAACTCCATAACCCCGACCACTCTTCCAGCGGCCATCTGAACACCACACAGCACGAACAGCACATGCAGCATCAAGTTTTGAGGACTGACCTGACCCCTGGGCAAGGTATCTCTGTTAAAATGGTACAGACAGGGCTTTTAAGGGCACAAATACTTCTGCTTCCTGTTTCAAGACCTCACTTTCAAATATTTAAAACTACCAAATGCTGATGAAGCTTTGGTTTGACAGCGTGGATCGCTTCTGAAGATGAGGCTGGAGAAAAATGCTTTTGTACATGTTAACCATGGCTTGAGACTTTCCCATGTCCTTATTGGTCTCACCCGCCCTTATTTTGAACCTGGGAAACGAAGCTTGGATGGGAAGGACAGGCAAAACGCACAGGCGTTGCATGTGCTCTTCAGCCAGAAAACTCAAATTTACCTCTGAAAAACCAAGTTTTTGCACAAACTGGCAAGATGAAGTGTAATAGCACCTCAAAGAGACTCTGTCCTTGCTCAGAGCTCAAATTGCTTGCTCTGTTGGGGTACCACCAAGGGCTTCAGGAGAGCGGCTGACACAGCCAGAAGATGAGGGGCAAGTTGTGATACACAGAGGACCTGTCTTCACTACGCCTGCCAGCATTTGGCCAATACCCAAGCCGAACAGAGACAGGAGCCACTGAAGAAGGCAGAAAAAGAAAACTCCGCCTCTGTTAGTCAACAAAAGGTAAGAACAGGACTCGGAGAAAACAAAAGGGAGGAGGAGGGGTGGATTAATGAGCATAAAACCCAAGGACACTAGGAAGAGGGCAAGGTGGGGATGTGAGGGGCACCCAATCTGTACCTTTTAGAACATGGAAGATGGAATGTGAGACTGAATTTTGTTATTTGTTTGCCAGGGAACAGCAGTAAAAACCACCAGGAATGTGCTTCAGGCCAATCTAGTGCTTTTTTTCTTTTTTTTTTGTGTCTACTTTAACACTGTTATTGAAGAGTATTACACAATACTGGTGTCTTGCTTTAAGGTAATTTTTTTCAACATTTAGAATACTGTGTTTTAAAGGAATGTCTTCCTCTTGATCTTCTAAACTGAGAATACCAGAAGGAAATCTGCTGCTCTCTTGAAGTCAGCGGGAAGTTTGCTTGCATAAGGAGAACTGGTTAGGACTCTTGACAGTGTTTCACAGCTTGTACAAAGTTCTCCAACATATTAGAGCTCATCTTTTTCATTATTCTTCTTCAGGAAAGAAGCAAGGATATTGAGGCTTTTCTGGAGCTCCTCCTTTTTCCCATCACTCATTTTGTTCTTCTCGATCAGTTTTGTGATTCGGACGACTTCATTAGCAGCAAACTCTTCTCCCTGCTCCAGCATCTTGCTCATAATTTTCAAGTATTGCTCAGCTGACTTCTTCTCAGTTTCTTTTGTTTTTTCTAAACTCTCTTGCCCCTTTTTCAGGAGGGACTGGCGTTCTGATTTCTCAGTGGTGCTCACAAACTTGCTGGCCAGCATGTCGTACTCTTTCAGGCAGCCTGGCATCCCCAGATAGATGCCGTTACTCTTCAGCCAGCGCTGAATAGCCCCGGCCTTGATTTGGCCACTGTAAGGTAAAGGATTGTCAAAGTCACCATCCTGGAACAAGTGAAAAATTGGGAACTTTTCCTTATCCAGCTTGTACTTTTCTCCCAGCTCAGTGTTCAGTTTATCACCATAATCTGTCAAGAGAAAACAAAACACAGAAAAGCACAGTGTGTTAATTAAAAGAAAAAATTAATTTAGGATTCTCTCCTACACACACATAAATACGTCTCCAGAGTTTCAACAAGTCCTAATAACCTCTTTGCCAGGAAATGCCATGCACTGAAACAGAAAACACTCCAGCACATCCTTTGTGCAAGGAAAACCATCATTAGGTTCTCCAAAGAAAACCAGAAAATTCTAAAGGTGCCTTGCTGTGGCTGTGAGAGCGTCAGACATCGTCAGGACCTCTACGTACGAACCCCATCCTCCTTACGGGAAATTCATAGCCATGGTTTTCCTTGGTTTGCCCCACCCATTGATTTTATTTGATTTTACAGTTAAACGGTTTTTCTTTCCTGATCTATGTGCAAAGTGTGCACTTCTATGTCTGAGTTCTGACAGCATACCAAGTTACAAGATGTTTTCTCATCTGATATAAATTCCATTTATTCTTGAGGACAGAACATGTAACTTAAAGAGATTTCAACCACGTGTGCTTAGAGATGTCAGCGTGGGTGAAACTTCCCAGTTTGACAGTCCCTGCAAGCTTCAACTGCTACTTCTACCCACAAAGCAAGAGCGAGTAAGATGACAGTGATTCACTCTTCACTGCTTTCCTCCTAAAGCCAATTACAGGAACATCAAGTCACACCAGCCACAGCGCAACAACCACTTTCTGCGCTCCACCAGCAGTAAACGGAGGGTTTGCCACAACTACATGTGCTTTATTTGACCAGGCTTGTGGCTGAAGAATCATTCTTATAAGGTCTTCCCTGGAAATGGACGAGAATGGCAAAGAAAAAAAAAAAAAAGACAAGAAGTGCTATGACTGAGGAGGGAGGACGGCATCCAGTTGAGCAGCATGGGCTGACGTGCTTCATTAAGCAGCCGAAAGGAGATAAGCAGCACTCCTACGCTCACGGCAGGCGCAGCGACCAGCCCGAGCGGGTGCTGTGGCCCATCTTGTTTCTATCAGAATTACCCCAAAACCTGTTTTCATCAGAAATCGCAGTGAGGTTTATTCCCTCCCCGCCAACCCGAGCTGTACTGATCTGCCCGGAGTTCCTCACCTGATATCCCCACTTCAGCCACCAGAAGATCCTCACTGGAGCCTGAGCTCTCTGCCAGCTTTTTAAACTCATCCTGTTTCTCGCCATAAGGGTATTGCGTATCGAATTTCACAAGGACAAACTTATGCTTTGGAATTACCTAAAACAAGAAGAAGGAAAAAAAAAACCAAACTGTCAGAACTTTAGCATTTCAGGTTTGAGCAATCTCCGCCACCTAAGGTTGCTTTAGCTCGTCCTTCTTTTCCTATGCAGAGGGGGAATGGAAATTTTATAATTATGGCCTTTCAAAAATGACTCACTGCCATGCAGAGGAAAGACTGAGCTCTGGGTGGATGGATTCCTACACCAGATGATAAAGATGGTACGTGGTAGGTTTGGGGAATCTGATGAGAACGCCTTCAATTATACATGATTTGCTTATTGCATATCTGATCAGCATCTTGGAAGGGAGTCAGCCGAACCATTTCCAGTGGGACATTAAGAGGAGAGAGGCCAAATCTAGCGTCACTCTGAAGCGTCCCAGCACACACACTGCAGCCCCGAGCTAAGAGAGGGGGCGCGGGGGGCAG